GGGAAAATTTTAAAAGGTTATGTTTATATACAGCGCTCCTAATTCAAGTAACTTGACCGTCTGCGGAAATAAGGCAGATGTGTTGAGAAATGGTGAAGGGTGGTGCTAACTTTGGGGGAACCAATACTTAGGAAAGGCTCAGAGGAAGTGAAGGTCAAGAACAAGGTGGGACAGTACTTACTGAGGGGTTAATAAGTTGGAGGAGGCCAGTATTGGTTAGAAGCAGGTTTCTTGGGGTCTCTTAGACTACTTTGGGAGTAAAAAAAGTAGCAATAGAGACAGGAGTCACCGGATGTCAGAGGGTGGCAATGGCAAAAGAAGAGGCACCAAGGCAAATTTCTTGGGTTGAGCTTCATTTGTGCTGCCTAATGCTTTTAAAAATGCAAGTCTAGGCAGGATGACCTCTGGCTTCCTTCTTGAATATTTTAATAAAAAGGCAGTATCATAGCCCCAAGCAGGAGCGTGATTTACAGCCATTTCAGTTTATTGCCTTTAACCCCAAATTTGCCACTTTGCTGACATCTTGCTCACCACCTTCTCAGTAATACAAAGACTCTAACACATACGCAGATAAAGGATTATGCTGCTGAGTCACATGAAATACCTCCCAAAACATCTAAACTCCCAAAGCTTGGAACCCAACAAGTCTAACTCTTTCATCAGTGCTATGCAAAGTCAACCACTTTATAATCCTTGTCACTTTCTTCAAATTCCCCTTTCTGCTCTTTTTACTTTGGTCTAGGGGCATCTTCTTCTGGATTAAGTACCTCTCATTTTCAGTTTCTGCAAACTTCAGGAGACAAAAAGCAGTATCAGATGGTTTCTAGGGTCTTCCTGAAATATAGCGAAATGATGCATTTTTACATAGAAAACTACATCACAAATTTCCCGACAACCTAATACTTGGAAAAAAATAAGTCATGACAACCTGTGATTTAATTAAGGACTTAAAGTAGTATTTTCATTTGAAAGAAGACTAAGCAGCAAAGGGCAGTAGAAAAGGAAAAAGAAATAATGATGGAATTACAGTCCTGGTATTCTGAAGGTGCAGGACAAACATATTTGTATTGTGGCTGGCCTTTCCAGTCTGTCTCAAATCACAGTGTCCTTTGTTACTGTTCCATTAGTCCTGTGCTCATTCATGGGCCTTTGAAAGTTTTTGTTTTTAAAGGATTCCATTATCTAAGACCGAACATTCTGTAATTTTTCTCTTCTACATATTTGCTTTTATTTTTAACCTCCTGATGGACAGGTAAAGAGCCTATATGTTATATTCACTATTGAGTCTCCATTGCCTACAAAGGGCTTCAGTAAACATTTACTTGATTAACATTGCTCAATATGCATTTAATGGATTAATGAATGAATGAATGAGTAATCAGAACTAGAATAGTCTAGTTTCTACATGTCATTAGAACATCTATCATTCAATTGCATTATTAGGTTAAGTTTTAACAAACTAGTCAGCCCTATCCTCAATGAGTTGATAACTACTACAAAAAAAAAGCTTTTAGGATGTTATCGTTTTTAAAAGAATACACCTAAAATACATGGTGGTATAAAGGAAATTCTTACTAGAGCCAATTATTTTGCCTAGACTTATTGTTTATTCTGGCCCTCCATTAGGTAAAGTTTAGCATATCATGAGTTTGCACTATACGTAAATGGATTTAAAGATTTTTTGTTTTACTGATTTTTTTGTTTTATTTCAGCAAACTTCAGAAGACAAAGAGGGATATCAGATGGCTTCAAGGAGTGACTGGTGAATGGTTTGAAGAAATTCAAAGAAAAAAGTTTTGCAATGAAACAGATGTTAGCCAGATGTTAAAACCACCACTCACATATAGGCTAACAAAGGAGATGGCAAAAAATGGTGAGAAAAAAAAATTTAGATCTTTTTTTCTTGTGGTATAATATTGTAAAGGCTCAATGGCTCTCCAATTTAACCAACCCATGTTTATGACAATTTTAAAGTCATAAAGCACAAAAAACAGCATACAACATACACTAAAAAGAGTGAACTGTAATTTTACTTAAAAATGTCTTGAGAGGGAAAGTATATATTTAGAATCAAGCAAGATAGTATAGTAGTTAGAAACATAGACATTAATGTGAGACCAGCAGTTAGCGTAATGGCTATGTCGCTGGACTCCCACGTAGTCGACCACGGTTCAAGTCCCGGACCCGGTGGCTTAAACTCATGCCAGGCATGTGTGCGTGCGTGCCCAAGATCCTGAGAGGAGAATGGAGGACAAGGGATTGCAGCGAGGCCATCCCCCTTGGGGGGTGATTTCTCGCTTTCTTGTCTCTCTGTCTCTCTCTGTCTGGCAAGCGCACGCGCCCTATAGCGAAAACCTCTCCAAAATAAAAAATATATATAGAGACATTAATGTAAAAAAGAGACCCAGATTTGGGCCAGATAGTGGCACAACAGTGAATAATGCTCTGGGAGGCTCACCCACATGGGAAAACTCCTCATATATTACACATATATGTTACATGTATAGACATATAAAAGCATATATATAGCAAAGAGGGGGTCTTCAAAAAGTTCTTTGGGGGATCAGCGGATGGTGTAATGGTTATGTCACTGGATTTCCACATAGTCAGTCGAGTCCTAGGCCCAGTGACTTAAAACACACCAGGCACTTCTGCGTGCGTGCCCAAAATCCTGAGAAAAGAATGAAGGAGAAGGGATTGCAGTGTGGCCATCCCCCTCGGGGGTGATTTCTCGCTTTCTGTCTCTCTCTGTCTCTCTGGTAAGCACATGCACCCTGTAGCAAAAATATCTCTTAAAAATTTTTTGAAGGAAACCAGCAGTTAGCGTAATGGCTATGTCGCTGGACTCCCACGTAGTCGATCGCGGTTCGCGTCCCAGACCCGGTGGCTTGAAACTCACGCCAGGCGCGTGTGCGTGCATGTCCATGATCCCGAGAGGAGAATGGAGGAGAAGGGATTGCGGCGTGACCATCCCCCCTGGGGGGTGATTTCTCGCTTTCTGTCTCTATGTCTCTCTCTGTCTGTTTGGTGAGTGCACGTGCCCTATAGCGAAAATCTCTCTCAAAAAAAAAAATTTTTTTTTGAAAAATTCATGTTATGAAAAAATTATGCATGTACTTTACAGTATTCACACAAAAATAAACTTGGACTATATTTCCATTTTTACACAAACTTCATGATCTCTTTGTATATTTACATAGTAATTGACTTTGGAAAGGAATAAAGAACCACTTAAATTAGTTTAATTTCCGTTTCCTTTCTTTAGTATAAAAAGTACCTATCATCATGGCTTTAAAATAAAGTTTTCTGAAGGACAGAATGTTTAAGCAACATGAGAATTAGACAGGGCCCCTGACTTCCTAGCTTTTTTGATAGTCACAAAGAAGACATGTTGACAGTTTCACACAGTGAGAGGAGAGGAACATGGTATGGAACATCTGAAAGGACATACAAGATACACTCCCTACTAATTCTGAGAGTTTTCTCATTTCTGCAAAACCATCAGAGACATCAGACTCTGAGAGGCAGTTCTGACTCTCCTTAATTCTTGATATCTTCGTATGAGGATGACTGTTCTTTTTCTAGACTGCATAGGAAGAAAGGGAAGCAAATGTTCTTTCAGGTATATTTACCTGGAAATTAATTAATGATGCAAAATTTTTACAATGTTTTTTTGATCCCATAGAATTACAAACATCAAGATCTAAAAATTTAACTAATCAAAAAAAAACATCTATTGCTTCTCGGCTGAGCTTCAGATCATCATTTGCCTCCCTGTTCTCATTCAGAAAATCAGGAAAGGAAACTTTAAAGCTGCAATCACTGGAACAGAAAGGGTAAGTTAAACTCAGGTCATGTGACAGCCCATTAGTCAAATGGGCTGGCTGATAACAAAGCCAATAGCCTGTTTTGTGTTCAGAATGTTTAATGTTTGTTCTAAGAATTTCTATTCAGATCATAACAAAGGAAACAGGACCTAGTTCACATAATAACGAAGTTCTCAGGAAACTATTGAAACTTGGCTTACTTGAAATCCAACTCCTGACCAGCTGCTGAGGTCTCTGCTGGTGTGCTTGGTGAATGATGGATTAAACGCTGGAAAATAGTTTTGAGAGCATAATCTATGCCTTGGCTGGGACGATATATTCCATTTAAAATTACTCTTTCTTTGGGGCGTATGTGTGTGTGGTCATAAGGAAAGTTGCAGTGTAAAGACTAGGTGAGAGTAAATATGAAATCAGCAGAGTAAAGAAAAACATTTCTGAAACAGAAAAAATTTATCTACTGTAACCAGATGTATTGAGGAGAGCTGTTTCCACGTGGTTGCCCAGAATTTAAATAAGAGGAGAGGGAGGAGAAGCTTTTGGATCAGTGGAAGGCATAGTTCCAGGAGATTCTCAGTTCAGAACTGTGTAAATCAGTTCATCTTGACTCACTGGGTTGCTGGATTGTTTTGCGAAAAACAGGCAAGGCTGTGCTTACATGCAATTGAGCTGACTGCTAAATATTTTCAGCGTGTCTTCCTGGTTGCAAAGCTTCCCACCCTCTTAAGGTGTTGGCTTGGCACGTGATTTGTTCCGTGACCCATCAAACCATTAAGAGTGCGTTGCAGCAGCGCTAAATAAAAGCTGTTGGAGGTCACTGTCGCTGACAAACAATAGGTAACAAGCAGCTGGTGGGACCTGTGATGAGGGCACTGTCCTCCCTTCTTGTGTGGATGGAAAGCTTTTTATTTCCAGCTCTCACCTGACGCTCTTTTTTGTCTAATGAAATAAAGAAGAGCTGAACAAAATGTAGATTTATGTGACTATCTCTACTGCAGTCATTTGCAAGGAAATACTCTTCGAATGGGTGAGTTGCTTTTCTTTGTAAAAATGTTTGCGACACTGATAAATATTTCCTGCTAGGAAATATTTCTTTTAAAGCAAAAGGAAATATTCCCAGTGTGTGGTAATAGCTAGAAATTGTGATAGAATTTGTACTTTAGGTGATTGTCTTAAGACAGGGTTTTATATAGCTGAACAATGTAACATTTGTAAACTGGGAAAAGTGGAGAAACCTGTTAACTCTATGGGCAAGTTATTGCTAAGCTCATAGTGCAAGTTACTGCAAAAGTGGGTCAAAGAAGATAAAAGATCTATAATTTTATTCTGGGTGTCATGTGTTTTAGTTCTAGACCAAACTGGAGGGAAAAAAAAAAAACTGGAACATTTGCAAAATTTTAGGAAAGTCCTTCTCAGGTACCAAAATGACTTGTAGCTCTCTTTTAACCACAGGAACTCACATTTAACACAGCACACAGAAATAGAACAGATTTCATCATTTAAGTTTATGTGTATATGTTTAACAGCTTTCAGAATTTGACATCTTTAAATACATTTTACTTTAAAAATTTAAGTAGGAACATTTATATTAAATTGATATTGATAAATAGGTATTAATTCTGTTGGTGCAGAATGTGATGACAACCCTGGTTTTTTGCCCCTAAGAAATTTCAGAAGATAAAATGTAAAAACATGCCCTTTTAATTTTTTTATATTTGAATATAACCTAAATATGTGGATATTAATCCTAAATGTGGAGGAGGAAGTATTTTTATGAGGAGTGCTATAGTTTGGCAGATAATATAAATTGTGTATCATACATTCCTAGGGGCTCTATCATCTCAGGTAGAACCTAACTTTCTTAGGCAGTTTTGATCTTCCAAAATCAACCTTAAAAATACAGATCCTGATTCAAGAGCTCCTCCTAGCATATGAACACACAGGGAGGGACTGACAAAGGGCCCCAGGGAACACAGTCATCCTGCGCCAGGCAGCCATCAAGTTTGTCAGGCAGCCATCAGGTTTCCACTTGCTGAGGCCATTAGGGGCTTGACTTTGTCACAGTTGGTCCTCTGGAGACCAAGTCAGCAAAACAATTTAGAGGCTTCTGCAAATCAGAGAAAATGAACCAATCCCTTTATTGCAAAAACAGCTCTGAAATATTTGATTATCAGAAAAGTATTTTTCCTCTTTTCTAAAAAAAAATTTTTTTTTTAATTTTTTGGAAAAAAAAATTTTTTTTTTTTAAATTTGCCAAAGGGCACAGGCACTTCTCAGAGAAAGACAGAAAGAGAGAGAAAGTGAGAACCTCCTACCCCATGGGGGATTTCATATCACAAGCCCTTCTGCTCCATTCTCCTTTCAGGATTTTGGGCACACACATGCCCAGTGTGTTTTTCAAGCCAATCGGAGTCTGGGGCTTAAACCACATAGTCATCCATGTGTGATCCAGCCAATTTAGCTATCGTGCCACAGGCCGGTCCCTGGAATTATTAGTTTTTTTTTTTTAAGTTTATTTATTTCTTCCTTCTATGAGCAAGTGAGTGAGTGAGCGAGAGAGAGACAGAATCCCTTACAGGATCTTGAAGCCATGATGCACTTCTAGCTCTAGCCAGCCTTGGATTATGGCCACCCATGTGACCAGCTTTACTCAGGGAAGTCTATGGATATGAATCTAGCTGTGCTACCGCCTGGCCCAAACAGTTCATGTTTCATTTATTGCTAGCTAATAAATTCAAGATAAATATGCATATATTGCACGTAGCTTTCCCCTTAACATTTTCCTATAAATCATATTTCCTCCTGTCTTATTATGAGGTATCTAGAGCGCATGCCATATGATGCTCAGCCACCAACACCACCCCCTAGAACTTCAGTAACATCATCATCTCACAGATTCCTCCCAAATAGTGCAGTAAGTATCCAGCAATGTATATGATGAGCTTATACATCCATATTCCTGGCTGCAAAAGGAAATCTAGGTTGTTCCTTTTTTTTTTTTTTCCACGTTTATTTCTTCTATGAGGTAGAGAGTGAGAGTCAAGTTCCCCAACAGGGTCTCCACGTGGCAATGCATTCCCATTTTGTCAGTCAGGATTATGGACATGCACATACCCAGGATGCTCAGGCAGGCCTGGGATGTGAAACTAGGACATTTCCCATGCAGTCCAGTTACATGAGAGCGGGGCCACCCCGGCCCCGACAGTTACTCCTTTCTTATCCCAGACCCCCAGTTATTCCAGTGATACCCTCCCATTGTGAATAGGTGATGTTCTTTGCCTCTCTCTGTTCCATGCTTCAGCACATCCACAATGAAGTTGCTCCCTCAAGGGGACACCTTCTCAAAGCTGTCCAGCCATACACATATGCTGCCAGTTGGTTTGAGGGATGTGAATTTTCCCCCTCCTTTTTCCATTGTGGGAGTCCCAAGGTCTAGGGCAAAGTGAAAGTAGAAGGGAACTGGTTCATAAGGCTCATGAGTAACATGTACAATTAAACATCAGATCGCATATTTCCTTGGAGGAACAGCACAGTGCCTAGCATATAGTGACTTCTCACTTCATGGCTGTGACTGAAGTGACAACTATACTCTTGGAGTGAGTGTCAGTCCATTGCCCTGTTCCTTCAGGATGTTTTTATTCCCTTCAGATGCAATGAGCTTTAGTGGATCCACCTAGCTGTTCTTTAGACATGCCCAAATTTGCCTAATCCATAGGGCGTATACATTTTAGGCAGTGCAGCTTCCACCTCTGTTACATAAGCAAAAGAGTCAAATACTACATTGGAAAGTTTAAAAAGGCATATTTTCCCCCTGGATTCTGTCTCTCTCTGCCCCCTCCCTCCCCCTACTCTAAATGTCCAACCGTGTCCTCTTCCCTCCCCTAGTCAAGTGCCTATTTCTGCATTGGAGAACAAGAAAGGCACCTAGACTAAAGGAGTCATCAGAATAAGTAAAATCGTTCTTTGGAAATGATTCTGTGATCCCAGGTGTGGGGTCTTGAACATTCTAAAGGAACAGAAAGAGATATAGAGATAGGGAAAG